GTTGAACCTCTGTCTCCTCCTTATATTTCTCTTTTCGCCCAGCCATATATCACTTTCTGTCTTTGCCTCCAGAGTGCTGGCATTAAAGGTGTGTGCCACCACTGCCTGGCCTCTGTGGTCAACTAGTGGCTCTGCACTCTGATCTCCAGACAAGCTTTATTTGTTAGAACACAAAATATCACCACACAGTCCACTGGTATAAAGAAACCTATCAACGGACTTTTAAACTTTCCAGTAGTTGGTTTATAAACTAAAACGTAACTAACCTTAGGAATGCATTTCATCTCCCCTAATATATCCAGCAATAGGGTGTAAAAGTATAATCAATAAATAGTTTTTTTGCATTTCCAGACTCAGAATCTGAGTGGGTTTTATTGTCACAGAAGAGTTCAGCTTAGACAAGCCACTTTCCAAGGGCCCGTTAACCGCACCTGAATCATCAGAGAGCCCTCATCCGTGTCTCACGACTAACTGCCTTTCTGGAAAGATGTATCTACAACAGGCAGTCAGCCTTCCTCCGTGGCTTCCACATCTGTGGGTTACACACCATGGCCAGAAAACCTAAGGAAAAGTCTGTGTTGAACATGCACAGATTGATTATTCCCTAAATACAGCCCATTTATTGAGTGTTTCCCTTGTGGTAGCCACTGTAAGTAACCTGTTATGGGGTGGTTAAAGTGCACAGGGGAGTGTGCCTTCTGTATAACCATGGTGCCATTGTACAGAAGGGACCTGACCACCTGTGGACTTTGGTGTCTGGGTCGGGAGCTGGAATCATTCAATCCCTAGACAATGTCATCTATGCTTATTCTAAAATGTGTGAATTGAGTGGACCTGTAGTACATAATTTACATACAGAGAGTGTCTAGTATACTTTCATGTAAATTCTGTGCATATAGTTCCTATGGAAAGCTTTCATTGACTAAGGTTTTACAGTTCATCTGCTGTTGCAGACCAGCTGTGCTGCCTGCAGGTTGGTGCTTAGTTACTGTCTAGTTTAGTAAAGTAGCTGCTCCTGTTACTGCTGAACTAACGTTCTACAGTGAGTGTTGATTGACATATATGCCAGTGAAGTAGTAGTGGTGATGTCATTCCTCACAATAGCTGACATCCTGACACTTTTAATTAAAACTTAATGTGAATTATTACTCTTCACCCACAGTTTAACCCTTAATTAGGGTCAGCAAATGCTTTCTTTAATGGGATGAGATAGTAATTATTTTAGGCTTCTAAGGCTGCTGAAAGCCAAGAGCAGTCATTATAGTACATAAATGAGCAGGGCATGGCCAAATAAAAATATCTTTACAAAACCAGATATTGGATGAGATTTTTTTTTCTAGAGGCTGGAGTTGATAATCTTGCTTTTTTTAATTTTTTTCTCACCACTATACAAATGAAGAAATAATCTTGCTTTTTATGACTGGGTTTATCTTACTTATCAATTTCTGTCACACAAATAATTCCACCCTGAAGGCAGGAATTGAAATTTCTGAATGTAGAGTTAAGTGGAATTTGCACAGTGTTGTATCATTGTTTATTACACCATTATACTGCAGATCTTTGCCATGTTTATCCCACAACTTTGTCCTTAGTGTATCAGGTGAAATAAGGAAGTGTCATATCAAAGAATATGTAATGTATACTCTTATTGTATATTCGATATATGGTGACGTATGTTGCAAAATTACATGCTTAAAAGACTTTAAAAGTTCCATTCCTCAGTCTGGGGTGTAGCTCAGTTGGTAGACTGCTCAGCTAGCACACAGGAAAACCCTGTATTTGATTAAAAAGGAAGAAATTGGAAGTGGGGGCACATCCTATAATGTTCACAGTGGTGTGCACAGACCCCCCCCCATGCAATAGGCAGACAGATGATAGATAGACTGACTGATAAATACACAGAAGTGTGAGCACTAAGTCTGTCTAGCCTGAGAGTTACCAATTTAAAACTTTGCCTGTCTGTGTGGAACACACACTCTCTCCATCCTGCTGTGCGTTTCCAAGTTGTCTCCGATGATTGCTTGACTGTGTCTCATTTTTTTTTCTAAACAAACAGGTGGCTGCATTTTTCTTATATAATTTGCTTATTAACATTCTTATCTATTTTCCACTTGATTTCTTTATCTGTTTCTGCTTGCAAGTTCTCTGCTGGGGACATTAACCTAGTGAATATACCAAGTGATTTTTGTTACACTATCATGTAATACTTTGTAATTACATTTAGATCTTCTCATGTTTGAGTGATTGGTGCTCCCTGGGTCTAGTGTGCACTGGGGAGCCATCTCAGAAGAAAGCTCTTGTTTCACCTCACTCAAGCTTGTTCAGCTCACCATTGGCTTAATATGCCAGTGTTATCATAAACAGACTCTCCAGTTGTACAGTGAGTCTTTTTACACTGTCTCTTGTTTGGGTCATCTTTTGATCTATTTTTGAAACAATACTTCATTCTCAATCCTCACGGCATATTCTCTGATGTGTTAGAATGGGGCAGGGCCTCCCAGTCACATGCATGTTTATTTAGTTAGCTAGAAGCCCTTGAAGATCAGCTGGGTAACCTCCACCAAAGGCACTGTTAGGATTATGATTGGGATTATGATGCTAAACTTAGAAATTAATTTTACCAGAGTGGAATTTGCTATGACTGAGTCTTCGGGTCTGCAAGTAGAGTGAGGCTCAACACACGCTTCTCTCCTTTCCCACTCCATGCTTCTTGCTTGGTCATCCCTTATGAGTCACTACTATCTCTCAGGGCTGACAAGACTCTCTGCATGCACAAGTGTGTTTGTGTGTGTGTGTATGTATACTTTGTATGTGCATATATGTTTGGGAAAGCACATGTTGTACATGTGGAGGCAAAAGATCAATATCTTGTGTCTTCCTTCTCTACATGACCACCGTCATTATTATTATTGTATGTATATGTTGTATGTGCATATATGTATGTGAAAGCATACATTGTGCACATGGAGGCCAAAAATCAATATCTTAGGTCTTTCTTCTCCATATCATCATCATTATCTGTGTGTTCATGTGTGTCCACATGCGTGTTATGTGATAGGGAGCCATACGGCAGTACACATACACAGTACACAAAAAGAGGACACTTTTGTGGAGTTGGCTTTTTTATGCCTTTATGTAGGATCCAGAGATGGATCTTAGGCTGTCGTGTTTGCATGCCAAGTGCTTTTGCCTTCTGAGCCATCTAGGTGGCTCCGACACCTACTTTTTTGAGACACAGTTTCTCACAGAACCTGAGCTCTCTGATTGAGCTAGCCCGGTTGGCCAGTGAACTCCAGAGGTCCTCTTGTCCTGTGTCCCTGTGCTGGTGTCAGGCTTGTGCCACTGTGCCGGACTTTTCTCATGAGTTCTGGGCACTGATCTCAGGTCTGTCTGCTAATATGACGAGTAATCTTCCCAGCCCCATACTTAGGCTTTTTAATGTTAAGGAAGCATCTTTTTCCCTCAGCTTCCTTTTTTTCCTTATTGAACTGTGTTTTTCCTTATATACTGAGTCGTGCTGAGACGGAACCTCATGCTTGTAATAAGCAAGTGCTCTACCACTGAGCTGTGTGTCTCTGACACTCTCTTTACCTTTTATTTTGCAATAGGATCTTACCGAGTTGCCCAGGCTGGCGTTGTGTTTACTCTGTAGTATGAGGCAGGCCTCTGAACTTGAAGTCTTCATGTGTTAGCCAGGTACTGCCACCAGGCTTAAGCTCTAGCAAATGCGCATGCACCTTTCTGACTCATCATTATGACGGTTAACACCGCTAGCCCTCTTCATAGACTCCTACTTGAATTTACAAAATAAACTAACATTGATTGAAATATCTCATATTAAATAATGCTGGCTTAAGAGTGCTGTACTTTTCTTTCTCTTCTCTTTTTCTTTCTTCGAGACAGGGTCTCTCTATTTAAACCTGACCGTCCTGGAACTTAATGTGTAGACCAGCCTGGACTTGAACTCACAGAGACCCACCAGCCTCTTCTCTGGAGTGCTGGCCTTAAATATGTGTGCATCACCACACCCGCTTTTTTTTCTTCTCTACCCCAGATTTTCTTTTTTCATAACTTTAAAGAACTCCTTCATAAAGTCATCTGAATCACGTACGTTCGTGAGAAACTTAAGATGTAGTTTAGCCAAATAGATGGTCTTTTTCCCTTTGGTTGCTTCTGTATCGAATATTTAGAAAACCCTCCAGTTTGAGAGCCACGTTTGGATATTTAGCCACAGTTCCCACTTGTTATGGTTTCACATTTAACTATCTGGGTGTGCCTGTAAAGTCTCTATCTGGGGTGGGTGAGCATCCCCTTGATCCACTCTAAAGGTTATGATTTTAGTCTATCAAGGGTACACTTTAAAAATCAAATTAAATTGCTGGGAAGGGTGTTGCCAGAATATGTGTGTGGGTGTGGTAGTGGTGTGGGCGTGGTAGTGGCCTATGGTTTCAGACTCCAAAGGCAGACCAAGCTGACCTGCAGGACTAGTCTTACTGGTGAGGTCTGGATTTGACTGAGGGACTGTACCTCCGTTCATAAAGTGGGAGGGTGATGGAGGATGGTTCCCAGCACTGACCTCAGGTCTCCATGATCACATAAACACACACTGGTGTCCACATACATGCAGAAGCATGCACACACATGAAGAAATGGGGAAATCCAGTTAAGAATTGTGTAATGTATATGGAAGCAGGAGCTGACCAATCAGAAAAGCTGTCACCAGTAATCATGTCCTTCAGTGCTTCTGCTTGTAGCTTTCACATATGTAATTTTATGTGTGGCTGTCTTTCAGAATAAAATTGAATAGCAACAGTGGTCAATTTCATCAGTTATTCACCACATATTAGGAAAGAGTTCTCCTAACTTGCCTGATCAAGTTATTTGTAGTGTAGATTTAATAATATTTAATTGTTGAGCCATGTGAATTAGTGAGTTTCTTTACAATGTGCTCTTTGACAGAATGAATGTTTCCACTAATCTGGCTTATTTTTGTTTTACAGATGTTGTTTTGTGTTTGCTTTGGGATACCTCACAGTGTGTCAAATTACTAGAGTCTATATCTTTGATTATGGACAATATTCTGCTGATTTTTCAGGGTAAGATTAAAATTTGATTCAGTGACCTCTTTTACCTATTCTAACATAGTGGTTTAAAATACAGACTGTAGTTTCGTTTAGTACTCCGATGGAGAGCTGTTGAACATTTGTGATACCATAGATGTCACAGAGATACCTGTGATTCCAAAGTGCCTTATATAAACTTTCTAAACATAGAGCAGTTAGACTCTTAATGTGGTGTTTTTGATATTCAAAGTAGTTTCTAATTCTAATAGGAATTTCTACAAGCATTTATAAGCCTTGAAAGTCAGCCCCCTCCAAGCTATATTCTTGCTTCTTAGCCTTCTTTTTTCCTCCCTCCCTCCTTCTCTTCCTCCCTCCCCTTTTCTTCTCTCCCCTCCCTCCTTCTTTTCCTACTTCCATGCCTCCTTCCCTTCCTCCTCCCTCCCTCCCTCCCTCTCTCCTTCCCTCCCCCCTCATCCCTTTCCCTCCCCTCTCTTCCCCCTTCCCTTTCCTCCCTCTCTTCCTTCCTCCTTTCCTCCCTCCCTCTCACCTTCCTTCCCTTCCTCCCTCCCACGTTCCCCTCCCTCTCCTTCCCACCCCCCTCCCAGCTTAGTGGAACTCACTTCTGGCTTTGGTTTCCCCAGAGGGGATTTATTCCTTCTTGACACTGAACAGGTCTCCTTACCCTGTAAGGAGACTGAAGGAGTTTTAGGAGATAGATGAAGTACCAGCTCCCCTGAGCTAACCAATTCCTGTCCTTGGAAAGAAACATGTCCTGCCATGTGGGGCCCAGGTGGGCACCTGCAGACTTCACACTTTACATCCTGCCCCTCAGCTTTCTCCATTGTCCCAGAGAGTTGTGTCTTTTTCAATCTTTCACCTTTGGGCAGTATCAAAATGAACAAAACATCCAATTTAAAGATACAAAAGTTAGAAAAAAAATCGTATCTCTAAAGAAATAATTAACAACAGAAATTGGCCAAGTTATTTGAGAAAGTCACCTGTAAAAAGAATTTTAGAGGATAAAGTCTCTTTTTCTTCCCAATGATAGCAAAGTAGGTTTTATTATATAGATTTTAAAAATACGCTTTAATGAAAGCAAGTTGTGTCCCAAAATAACAAACAAAACCAAGCCCAAACAGATGACAAAAACTTAAAAGAAAGATGATAGAGATAGATAGATAGATAGATAGATAGATAGATAGATAGATAGATAGATATAGATAGTGGATCAGATTAAGAAGTGAGTCAAGAGGAATTGAAATCCATACCTGGAATTTGAGGGTAGAGAACAGACCCAGCCACCCATCTTTAAACAATAGATGTTCTTAAAGAAAAGTTGCCAGGCAGATTCGGTATCTGATGGGCTCACTGCGAGTAGAAGGAAGTGGCCCAGGTCATATGTCGTCATGATGGAATGATGTTGGGAAATAGATGTGAAACTATCAGAATCTCTGGAAGGAAGACCCCTGCTAAAAATAGCCACTGAAAGCTAACCATGTCACACTGGGAATTTTCACCCTGAGCCATTGAGCTCTAGGACCCAGGTTCTGTCTGCAGGTCCCAGGGGTATCAAGCCGTGGGAACCCTGTGTCCTCCAGTCTTGTTCTAACACCTGCTCTGGGTTTCCCTGGTATGTATTTATATTCACTTGATATACAGTTTCTTGGATTTTTTTTTTAAACTAGCACTTTAGAATAAGCGAATTGAATTGATTTCATAACCATGCGGGTTAGTACTGCTACACATCTGTGGGACCCAGTCTTCATGGGCCCCTCACAGCCCTCCTTCAGTTTGATCTTAGCCATTATCTTTTTTATCTCCCTCATCTGCGACTCCAAACCTTTGCTGCTCTCTAACCCTTACATAACATCTTTCTCTGCTAGCTACACAGAGGGTGTTGTCAAAACAACCGTGTCACTGCAGTGGAGTAAGGTAAAGGTTTATTCTCATATTACAGTCCACTGAGGAGGTATCCTCTACACCAAAGGCTGTTAGGGAAGGAGGCCCTTTCCTTCTGGCACCACTCCTACAGGGTCTCTGGAACTTTCTGATTTGGTTGGGTATGGGGAGTAATGATCTAGATCAGAGAGAGGGTGGATGCCTGCTTATATTCTACTGGCACAAACTATTATGGGGCCCACAGAGCAGAGAATGGTTTATAGTAAGAGCTTAATGATTTTTTCAAAGTTATTTAATGATGTGACTTTAGCAGTATTTTGTTGAAATTTATAATTTAGATATTTTAATATAATTTTAAATGTTTATAGGGAAAGAAAAAACAATGTAGCATTTTAAAGATAGACTACCTGTTTATAATAATCCCATTTTTAGCCATTGGAAGGAAGCATTTTACTATTATTGGTGACTTGATAGAGCTTAGATGCAGAATTGAACAGACTGAAGCAAGCTGCCCTGGTATGACTAAGCCAAAGAACTTGCTCTTTTAAAGTGGACATAAGAGAAAAGAGCCAGCTGTAGGCCAGTGCTCCCCATTCAGGAAGTAGAAATCCTTGGGTGTGGGACATCAAGGTGTAATAGGATTTTTCTTTGGCCCTCCAACTCACAAAAAAATGGCATAATTATGAAAGCTCAGCCAATAGCTTAGGCTTGTACCCAACTAGCTCTTATACCTTAAATTAACCCATATTTTTATTAATCTGTGTTCTACCATGTGGTTTTTACCTCTGTCCCATTTTGTGCACACAACTCGTTCCGTATCTGTCTGGCTTCTCCTGGAAACTCTGCCTTCTTCCCAGCATTCTCTCTGCCTCGAAAATCCTGCCTCGTTATTGGCTGTTCAGCTTTTTATTAAATGACTCACAGTGAAATATCTTCATACAGTGTCAAGGAATATTCCACAACAACTAGGGGTAGAGAAGTCCCTCCTGTGAGGCAGATTAGGACAAGTGTCATTGCTCTTCAAAGTGTTGATGTCTGCAGAGAGCACAAGAAGGGAGGGTGGGCCCTTGCTGAGGAATCTCTGTGAAATGTCTTCAGTGAGATAGATTTACTTGCTTGAGGCATGGAAGAACAGAGAGAGATGGGGAGGGAGGAGAAAGAGAGAGAGGGGATTAGGAGAGAGAGAAGGAGGGGCTGAGGGAAGGAAAGAGAGAGGGGAGAGAAAGAGCTTGAGTGTGCGTGCTCCAATGTGTGTGTGTCTCTCTCTCTGTGTGTATGTATGTCCCCATATAAATTAGGTTCAGGACTTTAGATAAAAGGCTGTGTTTTCATTAGAAGTTTCTAGTTGCAGAAACGTTAGAAAGTCCCTGAAGTTGTGAAGTCTCACCTTGGCTATTGAAAGGTGACACAAGAAAAAACAGAAAATGATTAATATTTGCATCAGAAATAACTTAAAAATGTAATAGAAAAAATAATCCTGTTTCAAAAGCAACTGTGAAATGTCCAGGAATGTTTCTGAGAAGAGATGGACTGGGCCCTGTGAAGATAGCTCTAAAACTTTTCTCAGGGGTATGAACTTGAGAACAGCCTGCTTGTATATAGACAGTGGGACAAACAAAAAGGTAGATGCATGCAGTTGGTATAACAAAAGTTGTATTTTATCCTGCTGAGGGTCATCACCCAAGGTTCACACTCTAAGTTCCTAACTCTTAGGACCCACCTGGTAGAATGAGAAGGCAGCTCCTGGGAGTTGTCCTCTAATGTGACTCCCATGGGCTTCACCCTAAATAAACAAATACAAGGTAAGGTGTAGAATAGCTATGGTGGTATCATAACTCAGTAGGGACATCCTGGCTCATTTCTTCAAGTAACTGGATTAAACCTTGTGATGTAGAGAGGACAATAAGCCTTGGCCTCTTGTGGATAAATAAATTGCAGGAAGCAAGAACAGCGCTCTCGCTGGAATTGCATCTGTGCTGCCAAAGGGACCGCTCTGTGTGTCTACCACAAGACAAACGCAGAAGGGGTTCATACAGAATAATTCCCATTCAAATCAAGGCTGTGTCTTACAGCTAAACATGTAATATCAGCTGCTCAGGGGTCGTTGGCCTGCCAGCTGGTCTGTGTCCTCTCGATGGAGGCCTACTGAGTGTGTGTGATGCATTGGCAGGGGCTTTGTAGGAACCAGTTCTTAAAGCAGGGGCAGAGATGGACGTGGCCTAAAAGCTGCAGGTGTGATTGTCATTTTTTGTCTCTCCATCTTGAGAACCTTATTCAAGCCCAGAATCTAATTTTAGACATGGTTTTTGTGTTCTGTGAAATGAGTCATGAAGGCCACTAGCTGTTCTCTATAATCCTCCTCACACAGTGCCCGGTAACTGTGTGTGAATAGGGTGATATGAAATATTCAACCACCCGAGACTTTGCACTTTCCAGTCCTGGTGGTTCTTCCTGTGGGAGTGTCTCCCAGCCCTTGACCTACATTTGATTACAGGAAGAATCCAGTCTCACTGCTGATTCTGTTCAAGTCACCACAGGAGTAAACAGAATGGAGCTGTGGGGACTTGGTTGTCTGCTCCCTGCCCCACCTGAGTTCTGCCACTGATTGAGTAGATTCTCAGGGCAGCATGGTAGAACATGGCAAAAAGACCCAGTCCAGGCTGCTCCTGCCAGCCCAGTCTCTGCAACTTCTTCTTCCATGCCTCCCTCCACCTCTCCTCTGCTTAGAGCACCCTTTCAACCATATCTGTTTGTTCAAACCCTGGTGAAAAGATGGGGCACTCCCCTCTCCGCTCTCTGATGTTTCTGTCATCTCTGTACACTTACCCAAGTATCACTCATTAATGTAGCTGTAGTAACGCCCCTTTATCTTTATCCATGGGAGCCATGTCCCAAGCCATGGGGGATGCCACAAACCCCAAACAGTAGTAATCACATTTTTTCTACACACACAGAAAGAACTAGTTTCCCTTTGGCATAGCTAAGCCATAGCATTTTCATGTCAGTGCCCTTGTCAAGGGCTACTCAAGCACAAGCGATCTGGTGCTATGACAATTGATCTGATGGCTGAGGTGGCTACTGGAGGGCTGATGGGTAACAGTGCACACAGCAGGGGGGGCCTGGAGAAAGAGTGATTTGTGATCATGGCCGGACACAGTGGAGCCCACAAGTTGTGTTCATACTATGCACAGCAACATAAAATGTAAAACATGGGAATACTGCCAGAGTTTTCCATTTTATATGTTCAAATTCTGGTTGACTGTAGATAATGGGAACCGTGGAAAGTAAACGGTGTGTGTGTGTGTGTGTGTGTGTGTGTGTGTGTGTTTGGGGGAGAGAGGGGGGGGAGGGAGGGGGGTTGTGTGTGCATGTTCGTGTGTCTGTGAGTACTGTGTGTATCTCTTAGTCCTGGCAGGAAGAGTCTTCAGAAACAGTACTTCCCATTTGATTTTTGTCTCCTTTCAACACCTCGTGCTTGAAGCCGTCCCAGTGTTTTTGTAGGTGAAGCTGTGACCTCGTGAATGTGAGTGAGGTTTTGTTTTTGGCAGAATGTGCTGTGTCTCGGGTGCTGTGTAAAGTATTAGTGATGTCATTATGTCATTTAATCTACACAGTGTCATTGTCCTCCCCACTTTATAGTCAGTAAGTGCTTTGAGAAATATTCAGTAATTCCCCCTTCCACTGTGGTCTACAGCAGTCGGGATTTATGAGTTTTTTCATTACATTTTGTTAGTGTGTGCATTTGCACGCGCGCGCGCGCGTGCGTGTGTGTGTGTGTGTGTGTGTGTGTGTGTGTAGAAGAGTACAGATTGCAGGAGTCAGCTCTCTCCTTCTTTCACTTGGGACCTGGGGATTAAGCTCTCACGTAATCAGGCTTGGTGGCAGGCACCTTTACTCACTAAGCCAGCTTACTGGCCCAGTTTGTGAGTTTTGATACATGTATCCAGGTGCCTTGTTCCCTGTGTCCCTACCCATTGTCTAGTCAGAGTCTTGTATAAAACATACTCAACATGGACTTCTGGATCTCTCACTTGTTACTCCCGTGTCCCTTCCCAGACAGCCCCATCTCTCCACAGTTGTCTCTCCCTTGTCAGAAACCTTGGTGGCTTCAGGCCTCAAATCCTGCCTCAAGTATACCAAATTGTCCTCAAAGCCCTGCTGGCTTTAGAACCACATGGGATTCACTGCAGTCTGCCTGTGCTGGCCCTGGTCTGAGTCACCTTCTTTCCTGCCCACGTCAACTGCTTCAGTGTTCCCACTTCTGCACCTAACAGTCTTTGCTCATCCTGCTCAGAGTCAAAAGCGATCCACTGAAAGCCAGGTCAGCCCTTGACCCTAAACCCTCCAGTCCTTTCCTGCCCCTTAGGTCAAAGCTATAGCCCTTGAGGAAGCCTGCTTTCTGCCTGCCCTGTCCTCTTCGCACTGGCCTCCTTGTCGCTCTCCCAAGGCCAGTCACATGTCTGTCTTCAGGCTGTGACCTTGTCCTTCTTTTCTCCTGGAGTGCCCTTACCCCAGGCCATCATGTGGTTGTATCTCCATTCACATGTCACCTTGGGGTACTGGTTAGTTCTCATGTATGTCCTCCCCCCTCCATTTTCTTGGCAGATTGTAGATTACCTGTTCATCTCTCTGCAGTAAGTTCTATGACAGCAAGGATGCATTGTGTCTCCAGGTGGGTCAGAGCTTGGACCCAGAGCAAAGCTTGGTGCTTGGGAGATGCCCCTTGTGGGCTGTCTTTCCGAGTGAGAGAATAGGTAAATCGGTAGGTGGCTCAGGCTGTGTGTGGTCTTAATGGGTTTACATTCCACATGCATTTGGCACTGGCCAGGTGGGACTGTTGAGGAAGACCATGTCTACTCTCTGAGGGCTTGCCTTGGTTTCTCTAATGGTGTTCTCTGTATGGCAGGCTCTGCCCTAAGAGGGTTTGACACATTTCTTGTCTTCTCCCTACTCCATGTTCCCCCTCCAATCACTCCTCCTGTCTCCCATGCTGTGTGTTGAGTTTGTCCAACTCTGCTCCTCTCCAGATTCCTTAACTCTCTTTGATCCGTTCATCCCTTCTGAAATGTCTTGCAGTCCCTTTTTAAATCTTCATTCACAGCACACTCCTTTATTGTAGTCTTACGTTCATTCTGCTCCTGGGAGCAGGTTGAGCCAGAGGCAGTGGACTACCACCACCGAAAACCAAAAGCCACACATGGGGTGGGTGGTCACCAGTGGTACTGGGGGGAAGTTGGGGTTCCCTCTTTTGGGGTCTTTGTCTTCTTAATAATTTATATGCAGTCTCAGAAGGACACTCAGGGATGGTTTTATTATTGTTTGAGCAAGAACAGCAGGAAGGGCTATACGGCGGAAGCTTAGCCAGCCTCTGTGTGAATGAACAGAGGGGAGATGTTTGATATAAGTTGTCCCGGAGGCCTTTAGAACAAAGTGGCTGAGGCTTAGAAGGAGCAGCAAAGCTGTCTTTGCAGAGTGACTCCAGGAAGAACAGCTTGAATAGGGTAAGGGTGGGCACCATTTGGTCCTGTTAAAATCTGTATTCCTTGAAGTCTGCCAGGCACCCAAGTGTGGTTTAGCCTCCCAGACTAGGATATGGTCCTGAGGCTAGACAACTCATGGAAAAGAAGTTATGTGAAGGATGCAGTGGGTACTATAAAGACATACACTCAAAAATACACACTGCATCTCTGGGACATATTCTATGATTCCTATGGCTGAATACATCACTTTATTGGTATTACGTAAATTTAGATACTATTTATTAATTTATTTTAGTTACATGTGCATGTAGATTGGAGTTTAGAACTGAATGGCATTTTATAATTGATTATTAGGAGAATCAGGCGGGGTGAGAACAATGAGTGCCCCACCCCACCCCAGGGAGATGGGAATCTCAGGGCATTTGTGTAATCCTCAAGGACTTGAAGGATGCCTTGCAAGGCAGAAGTGACAGTAGGCCCTGTGTGCAGAGTAACCTGGGGGATTAGGCTGCCTGAGCAATGATTTCCTAGGTAACCGTAAGAATGGCTTTTAAGGGAGCCAAGAGAAATCCTTCCTTCTCTCTCAAGCACAGGGAATTGGAGAGCAGCCCTCATCTGACCTTTTCCCTGGAGCTTGAACTCTCAAGGACACAGCTGTGACTCTGAATCCAGAGTGAGATGTGGAAAACAAACCCTTGTGTCCCCGGGTGCACACACTGTGAGACATACCCTTGTGCCCCTGTTTGCACTCACGGTGAGGCATAGCCTTGTGTCCCCGTGTACACACATTGTGAGGCAGAGCCTTTGCTCTGAGCAGTGTGGCTGGTGGAAAATCAATATTGGAACCTCACTGCATGGAGCCTGAGCCTCTGCCTATCATAACCAACTGGCCCTGGCTGCCCAATGAGGGTGATTCCATGTGGTGCTCTTTGGGGGCTTTTGAGAGTATGATTCAGTGAGATTCCTGGCTCTCCCAACATGTGCAGCACACACTCTGTCTGTTGGCAAATGTAACTTTTGATTTTATTGAAGTTTTAGAAAGTTAAATGACCATCTGAAAGCTGATACTGTGAGGGGTGGGGTGTAACACAGTGAGTGGTGGGGTGCAGTGCAGGGATGGGGTGTAACACAGTGAGTGGTGGGGTGCAATGCAGGGATGGGGTGTAACACAGTGAGTGGTGGGGTGCAATGCAGGGATGGGGTGTAACACAGTGAGTGGTGGGGTGCAATGCAGGGGTGGGGCATAATACAGTGAAGGGTGGGGTGTAACACAGTGAGGGGTGAAATATAGTACAGTGAGTGGTGGGGTGCAATGCAGGGATGGGGTGTAACACAGTGAGTGGTGGGGTATAATGCAGGGGTGGGGTGTAACACAGTACAGTTTTCTTATTTGGCTGATTTGGTTTTCCTCTACAAGTTAGCCATTCAGTTAGAATTCTTACAAGACATAGAAAAAATGCTGCTATCTCTTGTAATACATGTAAAGCAATTTCTCTTCTCTTTAGCAGATGCCAGGCTTCTCTGGGTTCTGGGTGGCTGGCATCAGCATGCCCTGCTTTCAGCATGGAGATGGCATTCTGCCCTTCTCTGTCCTCGTCTCCATCTTGCTGTTTGGCTCTGCTTCTCTTACACTTCTCACCCAAACCTTTAATTTCTGCTCATCCTCCCTTCCTTAGGAGTCCTCTGTTCTCTTTGATGTTCAGCCTTGGGCAACAGGCCTAGGGAATGTTGGGGGAGGCACTTAGTCACCACCTGGCCATATCTGGAGTCCTTGCACTTCGGACCACAGGCCCGAGTGTTAGGATGCATAAGTTGAAGGAGGCTGGCTCACTGAAGATTGCTTTCAGGCATAGGACCCTCTTTTTATTTACTTTTTAAAGCCACAGAGAAAGAAAGCCTTGATTTCTTCTCTCTTGCACCTTCTGCAGACAGGAAGCCCTGAGTTGTTAGCTCTCACAAGTCCTCTGCCAGTTTTTGACATGGTAACAGCTTGAGGATTTTGCTGTCGTGTAAGCAGGGTCATGCATGGTTTGTGACATCCCCCATTTAAAATGTCTACTTTTGTCTCGTCACAGCCCGATGATGATCATTACGCAGAAGATCACTAGTCTGGCTTTCGAGATTCACGACGGTAAGAATTTGGAAGTTAATTCTTCATCCCAGAAAAGAATTCTATTCACATAATCTGTGCTTTGAGATACTACCCTAACTCTGAAAGGGAAGGAAGGAAGGGAGAAACAGTTTTTAAGGTTTTTAGAATGTGCTTCACCCCCAGCCCCATGTGTTCTCTTGGTTTTTAATTCAATTCAGTGATTAAAAAGCAAAAATAGTCATATGGCCCAGGTCAAGGTCAAGTTTTATTCCTAATTTTGTTTGTGTTACCTTATATTGAAATTGTATGCTTCTCCAACCCTATTCCTTTGTGTTTCTATCCATATACACACGTTTTCATAGACTTTCAGTATACACATGTACCTATTTTATATGTTTAATAGTTAGTTATAGGAAATGCCAGCAATGAAGACTCCTTGGGGTGTTGGCTTGAGTTCCTCATAGGTAGGAGGGTCAAATCTGCTCAGAGACTTATCTGTGTGTCTGTCTCTGCATGTGTGTCCCCCTAATCCTGTTCCTCCTTCCCAGCCCACTTGCCACATGTGGGCAGGATACAGCCTTGATGGTTGGGTGGGGCAAGGAGGGGTTTTCCTCCTCTTTCCTTTTGCTACTGACAAGCAGAGTTACCTACTTCATTGTGTGGGGACAGGGACAGAAGGGACAGATTCCCCCGAGTGTTCAGCCACAGCTCTCTTTTCTGCCCCTCCAGCGCACCTCCTCCTGGCCTGTGCTTCTAGAGGTGGTGACATGTGCATGGGGTGGCCTGAGGAGACCCACTTTCCAAATCTCTTGCTTCTGCTCTGGGTTTCTTGTCTTCGTGTTCATAGTCAGACCCACACTGGAGGGCCTTTTTGTGCATTACAGTTCATGGACACATCTTGTGGCTCTTGCATTCTGAGCAGTGATTCGGGTAGAAATTCTCAGAGCCTGGTTCTGTAGTCATGAAGTACATACCGTGGATGTTGCCGTTCTGAGCACCCGGTTGTCTTTAGGGGCTGAGACCCACATGTCACACTGACAGGTCCCACCTAGAATGAGAGTCGAGGAACATCATGGGTCAGGAATGTCATTCTGTCTATAGGTCTAGAAGCGCCTGCCAGCACTATATGCTAAGCTCAGAACTGAAAGTACTGCAGAGCCCTATTTTGTTATGTGGTCTTTGAAGTTGATTTAGCAAGCAGGTTTTGATCAGCCTTGCCATGTTTGAAGAGTTCAGATCCTTCAGGTTGAAGTGCCTCTTCCTGTGAATTGAAGCATTTCATCCTACCAGATACCCACCTTATGCCTCAGGGCTGAGGCCAGCTCTTCCCAGCCTCTTGCTTCCTCAGTGACTCTCCCAATAGAGGACGACCTTGTCTGTTCTGAGAACTCTTAAGTCCATGCTTAGCTTGGTCTCAGCATTCAGTGTCGTCCTGGCTGAGGTTTGTTCTGATGAAGATTCTAAACAGTGAATAATAGAAGTGTTTGTAGTGAGGTCCAGAAGAAGCCAGGAGCAACTTTCCCAGAGTTTCTCCCCAGTGGCGTCAGAGACAGCACTGGATCCCCAGCTGCAAGTGTGGAACACCTGTGAAGTTCATTAGACCTGGGACCCAGGGAGCTTGCCAGGGGCTGGGCAAGCAGACACCAGTGCCTAACAGGTGTCACAGATGCAAATTCCTGGTGGGAAATCAGATGTTGAGAATAAACCGTGTTGATACAAACAGTCCCAGCCTAAGAAACACTTGTCTCAGTGTAGGGACTATGTATGTGTCTGCCAAGCTCTCGCTATTGGCAATGGGTCATGCTTGCAGGCAGGCTCTACTGAGGGCAGCAGCAGCAGACCATGTGAACTCTGGGGAGTGGGTCTGGACCTCTCCCGTGGCTGGTTTTTAGCTGCCAGTCTAGTGGCGGTATTCAGCAGCTTCGGGAAAGCATATGTTTTATCTGGATAACTTCTAGGTGTGGTGTTGAGACATCTTGCTCCCCTTACATGACGCAGCCTCCTCCCCTGCTGTTCTAGTTCTAAGTTATGTGCAAGAGACTACTGAGGTGTCAGCACTGATGGATGGCACATAGCACTGAAAGATGGCACAACATGGCATTGTGTTGGTCATGATGTCTGATATGTTCCCTGTCAGGCAGGGGGGAGGGGTAGGTTTTGTTTGCTTGTTTTGTTGCTAGGCCTAGCTGGGTGCTTGTACTTGATAAGGGAATATAAGAGTCTGATTTCTACCTTAGACTTAACTGTACTCATTTGTCTTAGTGTTAGTCTTCTAGCTTAAAGCATGATATCCTTAATTTAAATTTTATAAAGATAATCTATTTCTGAGTATCCAAAGTTTGAACTGAGGAGGGAGGCTTGTATATATAGACAAAATTATTCTATAAAGATGATTCCTTTAAGTTATATGTGTATTTTCCTTGGTTGGTTTGCAATTTAAAACGATAATAGCCTCCTGGGTCCACATAGCAGGGTACACTGGTACAGAATCCCCATGCTATACTAAACACTTCAAAATGCCATGCATGGGGCTGAGGGGGGGTGACTCACTGGGTCAAAGCATGCAGACCTGAGTTCAAATCCCTGGATTCCACCAAAAGCTTGGCATGGCAGTACACACCTATAATTCCAATGATGGTGGGCTGGAGATAGGAGGATCTTGGGGCCTTGCTGGATGGCCAATTTAGCCAAAATAATATGTAGGTTCACTTAGATACTCACCTCCCCACAAAAAAACTACTATGGAGAGCAATGAGAGAGGACACTGGACATTGGACTCTGGCCTGTCATGCATGATTGAACATTCCTACACACATAAAGAAATACTGAATAAAACACAACAAAAAAGCTCGGCAGTGGTGGTGTTCACCTTTAATCCCAGCACCCAGGAGTCAGAGTCAGGTGGATGTCTGTGAATTCAAGGCCAGCCTGGTCTACAGAGTGAGTTCCAGGGTAGCCAGGGCTACACAGAGAAACCCTGTCTCAAAAAAAATTAAAAAGCAAACACAACAAAAAGTTTGTATGTAGCAAAACTTGGCATCACAGATGACTGCAAACCTGCTCTTTTACTGGTGGGTGGGTGGGAGGGAGGGAGGTTGGGAGGTTGGTTGGTTTTCAAGAGAACACCAATGATCCTCATCTCCTTAGATTGCCCTAGGTCTATTGAAAATGGTGGATCCATCTACTGTGGGGAATAGAGCTGTTGAAAGTGGCAGGAGGTTCCTCTTGTGCTCTCCTTTTAAGTGGGATTTATGGGTTTTGTTTTGTTTTCTCCATATGATTCCAAAAAGTAGGCATATGCCTCTTGAAGGAAGAGCCAAAATATAAGTAACCCTGAGGAGAAGGTAAAGAACTCCACCTCTGGCCAAGTTCCCCCTGGAATCAGAGCCCCTTCTTGGTCATCTTGATGCTTATCTTTTTCATAGGTTTGGTTTTCATTTCCTTCTTTTTAAAAGTAGATTTATTTATTTGTTTGTTTGTTTATTTATTTATTTGTGGATGAGTGTTTAGCCTGTATCACGTGTGTACTGTGATTGTGGTGATCAGAAGAGGGCACCAGAACCCCTGGGACTGGAGTTGAAGACAGTTCTGAGCCTCCATGAGGGGTCCTCTGCAAGGGCAGCTGGTGCTGTTACTGTCCTGCCAACCCTCCAGCCCGATATTTCTTCCCCATTGTTGTAAAAATAGATGTGCGGTTACACTCCTTTCCCTAATTACTGAGTGTATAAGTGGTTTTTTTTTTTTTCTGTTATGCATGAGGTTGTGACGGTCCTGGTTGTAATTTCAGATGACATTCTTGCTTATTTCCTTAGACCAGGGGCATCTAGGAAAAGAGGAGAGAAATGTTCCTCGAGTCTTAGATCTGCCGGTTTATAGAAACACAAGTGGTCTTTGGTGGCCTTTTCCCTACTAGATTGACACCTCACAGCAGGGAGTGTGTCTCCTCTGCTTTTTCTAGTGCTAAGGGGTCCTCGGTGTCATAAGGTGGTTGTCATTCTCTCATGTCTTATGTACACATGTCGTCCATTCCAACGTGTATGTGTCACATGACTGCGATTGTACTGTGTGAGTGAGAGCCTTCGGAAGTTTTGTTTACTGCTGTGTAAAAGTGGCGGCTTGTTCTTGAACCTGACATCATTCTGCGTTGACCTCCCGATAATTAATTAATGTTTTCATAATTAATCATGAAGTTAACAGTTTGTATGTTAATTGGTTGTCTGTGTTTCTTTTGTAGTTTGTTTTCCCTGGTTTTTGTCTCTGTTTATCTCTGTGTCTTTTAATGGCTTGAGTTTTATGTCTTTGGACAGTGTTACCATTTTGTTTTATGGTAACAAAGGCTTTCTAAGTGTATCGTTTGCTTCTTAATTTAGTCTCCCTCTGGTCTTTAAATTTCATCTAGTTTTTCTTTTCTTTTTTCCTTTGTCTTATCTATCTATCTGTCTGTCTTTAAATTGGGTCTACTGTTCATTCATTCATTTCTAAAGCAGGTGGATCTATAAGTTGATGCTTAGCTGCAGCAGTAGCCTCCTGGCTGAGACAAAAGACACACTAGATGGGTAAAGGTAATGCATAAGCTTCCGTTGTTATTCACTGGTGCTATATGAGGACCAGAGTACCGTCACTGCTTTGTGTTGAGGTACTGGTCCACGGCACTGAGGTTTAGTCATCAAAATCCTTAAGGAGTTTTAATGCCTCTTTCTGAAAAGTCATAGCACTTTCTGTTAAGGATACAGATCTGCAGTATAAAATGTATTCATTTGGGAGATTTTTCTAATTGGATAATAATTTCCTTCGGACTTAGTAACCAGTAACTTTCATTTCCCTGTATGTACAGAGCAAGATGGGTTGGATCATGTGATAATTCAGATGTTATTTGATCTGTATCAATATGAGACATAAAGAAACAGGTATTGGGCCCAAACATGGCATATAACATGGATTTCAAATGAGGCAAGTTCCATTCTAAAGAGAAAACAAAACCCACAGAAGTGTCTCTTTTTGATTCTCAGGGATGTTCCGGAAGGATGAAGAACTGACCCCATCGCAGAGGGGATTAGCTGTGAGGTACGTGCTTTAGATTTATAGTGGTTTGTGCTATTTCACTGGCTTACAGAAAGCAACCTTCTCTCTGCACTGCTGCAGGCCACCAAGTTGTGCTGTGCTAGGCTGGCATTCTCTCCTGGGCTCCCCCTAAGTCCATGCCTGTGCCTCTGTACCGTGTATGCCTCCTGTGAGCCATGTGAGGCCCCCAGTGTCATCTCTGTGGGACTCTCAAAGACAGATGGTTGGTCTGCAGTTGTAGGGATTGTTGCTAATAATAGTAACTGCCACTCACGGGGCAGCAGCCTGATAGCAGTTATTGGGCCAGTATATTCACATAGCACAAAGGTGCAACACAGATGTTACTGATATTATTTGAGGAATTTATTTGGTCATTGTCTTTCTTTGTTTTGCTCTGAAGAGTGGTCTAAGGAGTGGCTTGGTTTTCTGGCCAAGTCTTTTTCAATCTAAGATGATTAAAAATGAAATATACTCACTTTACCTTTAAAGAAACCAATCCCTTTGTAGTAGCCTGTTTGAAAATACAGAATTAGCGCATATGTGGCTGCTAAAACAGCGGTTCTCAACCTGTGGTTTGAGACCCCTTTGGATCAATTTGTAATAATGAAAATACACCCTGAATATCAGATATTAACATTACAATTCATAGTAGTAGCAAAATTACAGTTATGATGTAACAGTGAAAATAATGTTATGGTTGGGGTCAGCACAACGTGAGGAATGGTATTCAAGGGTCGAGGCGTTAGGAAAGTTGAGAACCTCTGCTCTAGAAGAGGGGAATGGTGTTCACAGTGGTGGGCAGATATGCCCCCAGTAACACATCTGCACATCTTCTCAGGGGTTCCCTATCTTTATACAGCAGCACACAACCATTGACTACACTTACATGATAAGTAATCAGATTGGTTCTTGACTTTTCCTTGGCCTTGATCTACCCTAGACACTGTCATATACGGAAATCATCTCTGATTCTCCTGTCCCTCTCAGGCAATGCCTGGCAAATGGACAGTCTCAGTTAGCTCAGCTCTCTACATGCTAAACAATAGAAGAAAGCCAAGTAGAGAAAGACACTTTTCTTGTTGGCTGGAATAATTTTGAATATTTTACTCTATTTTTAAAATCATGGTCCTTGGGGCTAGAACAGTGACTCAGCAGTTGCTGCTCTTGCAGAAGACCAGGTTGGTTCCCAGCACCCACATGGTAGCTTGACACCAACTCTAACTCCAGTTCCAGGGGATCTGACACCCTCTTCTGGCTTATTCAGGCACCAGGCATGCACATGGTACACACACACACACACACACACACACACAACCACACAAACATATATACAAAAAACAAAACATTTTTTT